GAAGCTCTAGTTTGAGGGATGGAATTGACATACAACACTTTATAATGCTCTGATTTAACATAATGGGAGGCCATGTGTAGTGGCTCACGCCTGTAATCCCTCCTTTGGGAGGCCATTGCTTGAGGCCAGGAATTCAAGGTTGCAGTGAGCTGTGATCACATCACTGTACTCCAGCCTAGGCAACAGCCTGGGCAGCAGAGTGAGACCCTGTCAAAAAAAAAAAAAGAAAAGAAAGAAAAGGGAAGGAAGGAAGAAAAGAAAGAAAATAGAAAATACGTTATGGAAAAATAGGTACCTGGTTAATCGTTAAAATGTCTGATTTTCAGGAATTGATTACTGATGTTAAGTGGGAGGTCCCTATTTTGAGCTTTCCTTAAGATCTGTGATTTGATGACAGAGAGATTTTGGTCTTATCTGATTGCTTATGGGGAAAACTCTAAACTTCTCCACAGATCTGAGTTTTTCAAGTATATAAGATAGGATTTAGTGTTGACTGACCTTGGTTTTTTTGTGTGTTGAGACCCTATGCTATGGAAGGCTTTTAGGGTTAGGTGAATTGGGTAGAGATGTAATTGGGCCTTATAAGGTAAGGCCTAAACTTTCACGTGTGCCTTGGCACCTTTGTCGAGACCCTAAAGGCCTAACCATGAGTTTCCCTGCTCTTACCCGACATGCCCACCCCCAGCAGGAAAGGCTTCCTACTCAGCTAGTTCCCCTATGAGCTGGACAAGTTACACCCCTCATGGTCCTCAACCTAATGGGTTTCACCTCCCTCCTAGCCTATGGAATTATTCAAACAAGCCAATCACATACCACTACAGGAACCAGGGAACACCTCACCTTGTTATTACTGTAAAGCCTGCCTCCCACACCCCTGCTTGTTCATGCTGTTCTTGAATGCAACCCCCTTGTGCCCCTGCGTGATGTATGATGTCCTCTCTCAGGCTCTGAATATATGCATCTAACAAATTGCTGTCAATCTCATCTGTCCGGCGTGGGCTATTTGATTGTCTTGTACTTTTTAGGGCAGGGATCCCTCCTTCACCAATAGGGTGAATAGGATGTGATCAGAATAGGACTGCAAATAGATACATCAATCAATGGAGATTTCCTCCTGCGGAGAAGAATGCCAGGAACGAGGTCCACTGTGTATTTTTACAGGATGTGCTGGTCTAAAGCAGGATTTCTCAACCTTGAAACTATTGACTTTTTTTTTTTTTTTGTGACCGAGTCTTACTCTGTCGCCTAGGCTGGAGTGCAGTGGTCTCAGCTCACTGCAACCTCCGTCTCCTGGGTTCAAGTGATTCTACTGCGTCAGCCTCCTGTAGCTGAGATTACAGGCTCCCACCATCACACTCAGCTGATTTTTGTGTCTTTAGTAGAGACAGGGCTTCACCATGTTGACTAGGTTGGTCTCAAACTCCTGACCTCAAGTGATCTGCCCACCTTGGCCTCCCAAAGTGTTGGGATTACAGGCATGAGCCACTGCACCTGGCCTGAACTATTAACATTTTGCTGGAGAGTCTTGTATTGCAGGAGGCTGTCCTGTGCATTGTAGGATGTCTAACAGTGTCCTTGGCCTCTACCCATTAGATGCCTGTGACACTCACACCTTTTCCTCCAATTGTGACAACCAAAGTTGTCTCCAGATATGGCCAGATATCTTTTGGGGAGCAAAATGACTCTTCATGAAAATGACTGATACAGGGGGCCAGGCGTGGTGACTCGCGTCTGTAATCCCAGCACTTTGGGAAGCCGAGGCGGGTGCATCACGAGGTCAGGAGATCGAGACTATCCTGACTAACATGGTAAAACCCCGTCTCTACTAAAAATACAAAAAAATTTGGCCGGGCATGGGGGCGGGCACCTGTAGTCCCAGCTACTCGGGAGACTGAGGCAGGAGAATGGTGTGAACCCGGGAGGTGGAGCTTGCAGTGATCTGAGATCACGCCACTGCACTTCTGCCTGGGCGACAGAGTGAGACTCCGTCTCAAAAAAAAAAAAAAGAAAATGATTGATACTGGTGTCCCGGTGATATCTTTATGATATCTTCATGATTCAGTATCCTGTAACTCAGCAACAAAAAAATGACGTTCGAGAGATGATAGATGGTGACAAGCAAGAAGATGATTCACATCCGTAAGGATTAGATATTGTAGACATTGAGAATTGGGGAAGACTTTCAAGATTTTATTGAATTAAAATATCTAAAGAAAAAAGAATCTAATATATTAAAAATGTAGACTGCCATCGAACAAATTTTTGAAAGTTTGCTAAAAAATTGGTTATAAAAGGGAAAGTGTTTATAATAAAACCCGAGTTTGTGATGAATTTGAATCTATCTTCTTAGAGATTTTGTAGCACATGTGAGATAAATTTTTATCAATGTTTTTAAATGATTGTTAAAGGGAAAAAGAGAGCCCAAGACCTCATATTTCTTTTTTTTAAATTTTTAAATTTTTAAATTTCTTTTTTTGTAGAGACAGGGTCTTGCTAATGTTGATCAAGCTGGTCTTGAACTTCTGGGCTCGAGTGATTCTCTCATCTGGGCCTCCCAAAGTGCTGGGATTATAGGCATGAGCCTCTGTACTTTGCCTCAAGACCTCATATTTTTAAAGAATTTATGGTGGGCCAGGCGTGGTGGCTCAAGCCTGTAATCCCAGCACTTTGGGAGGCCGAGGCGGGTGGATCACGAGGTCAGGAGATCGAGACTATCCTGGCTAACATGGTGAAACCCCGTCTCTACTAAAAATACAAAAAACTAGCCGGGCGTGGTGGCGGGCGCCTGTAGCCTCAGCTACTTGGGAGGCTGAGGTGGGAGAATGGCTTGAACCCGGGAGGCGGAGCTTGCAGTGAGCCGAGATCACGCCACTGCACTCCAGCCTGGGAGACACAGCGAGACTCCGTCTCAAAAAAAAAAAAAAAAGAATTTATGGTGGAGGCACATAGTATTCAAAAGGCTTGTGTGCAATATTTCATTTAATTAGGATTTTTTGGGTTACGTACTCATTTCTAGATATGTTTGGATGAAAATGTCATCATATCTGTAGCCACAGGACTATTTAAGAACATGTAGGCTCAATGCTTCAGAAATACTGATTTTCTTACTGGCCCCTACTCATGTCACAAGTTTTCAGACCAGTGTTGTTTGCATGCCATGTTACCCCTCTCTGCAATGCAATCCTCAATCTCCCCTCTTTCCATTGTAAAAGTATTTAATTTATTTTCACAAGTAATAACTGAGTTTGTTTTTTCAGGGTTCAGTGACATTCAGGGATGTGGCCATAGACTTTTCACAGGAAGAATGGGAATTCCTGGATCCTGCTCAGAGGGACTTATATAGGGATGTGATGTGGGAGAACTATAGCAACTTCATTTCATTAGGTAAGTTTATTTATCCCAAATGATATTAACTTACTCTGCTGTCAATTTCAGGACTATATTTAGAAAAACGATCTAAAACTTCCACTTTCTGTTCCCAAAGGAATGATTTAAGCTTTGTTAGGTTGGAACTAGGCCTCTCCATTTCATCATGTCCAGTCAGCTATGCCCTTCAGGCTTCCTTCAGACTCTGTAATTCCTGATTTCCTTAGTATCCAAGGAGATGGATTTGAATATGGCAAAAGCATTGTTCAAGAAACCAGACTTCACCATATATTGGAGCTTGGAATTGACATAAATGCTTCACACCACTTTCTAGTCCATCTGCAAGTAGAATACCTAGACATAGGGGTTCTAAGTTTCTCTAAAAATCAAAGGAGTCTGTAGAACATAGATAGTGTGAGATGGATCCAGAAAGGTTGTTTAGAACTCGTAGCCGGGAATGGTGGTGCATGCCTGTAATCCCAGCTACTTGGGAGGCTGAGGTAGGAGAATCACTTAAACCCAGGAGGGGGAGGTTGCAGTGAGCTGAGATCACACCACTGCATTCCATCCTGGGTGACAGAGCAAGACTCCATCCCAAAAACAACCCCTCAAGGCCAGGCATGGTGGCTCATGCCTGTAATTCCAGCACTTTGGGAGACCGATGCAGGTGGATCACTTGAGGTCAGGAGCTCGAGACCAGCCTGGCCAATGTGGTGAAACCCCATCTCTACTAAAAATACAAAAATTAGCCAGGCATGGTGGTATGTGCCTGTAATCCCAGCTACTTGGGAGGGTGAGGCAGGGAGAATTGCTTGAAGCTAGGAGGCTGAGGTTGCAGTGAGTTGAGATCGCGCCACTGCACTCCAGCCTGGGTGACAGAGCGAGACTCCGTCTCAAACAGAAAAAACCCTGAAACACATTCTGTTTCCTATAACAGACGTATTCAGTTCTACCTACTTCGTAATTGAAAATTAAAATCTAAAAGCCTGGCCTTTAACATTGAATGAATATCCTAGAAAAGATCTGAGAATGTCTCAATAAACCTTTTATTATGCACTCATCAAAATGATAACAGTAAATAGCTAATAGCTAATACATATATTATGTGTATATGTTAATAAACATCACCATATATTTGGGCTTAAACATTATTCTAAGCATTGTTCATTATTAATTAATCCTCACAGCAACTCTATGAAAAGATACTATTATCTTCATTTTATTTGAGGAAACATAGACACAAAAGGTTAATAATTTGCTAGGTAACACAGAAACAAAGGCAGGATGTAAAGCCAGACAGTCTGGACCCAGTCTGTGTTCTTCCCTCTACACAATACTGCCTTTCAACAGAGCCTGTGTGAGGTTAAATTATATTAAGGCCTGTTCTTGACCAGATGGTTAATATAATGGCCTTAGTGTAATTAATTTAACCTCACACAGGCTATTCGTTGTGACCCTCAAGTTACCTTAATATGAGCATTCTTCAACTGCCTTGCAATTCTTTGCACTTAGGCTTTATAAAGTGTCATATTGATTTATAGTTAATTATAAATTTAACCAAATCTGAATCTAAAGATTTTTGGGTGTATAATTTCATGTCACATTTTTCTTTTAAGCAGGACCTTCCATTTCTAAACCAGATGTGATTACCTTATTGGATGAAGAAGGGAAGGAACCCGGGATGGTTGTAAGGGAAGGGACAAGAAGATACTGCCCTGGTGAGTGAGGGCTGAGCAGGCATTGAGAAATCATTACTGCAGGTAATAGCTAAACTGACTAGGGTGGAGGCACACCCTTGAGATGTTGGGATCTCTCTTCAAAAAGTCCGTGGCCTATGGAGGAAGGGCTTGGGACTTGAAGCAAATTAAGATCTTTTAAGCCTGGACTAGCAAAGGAACTTTCTATTGACCTTGATTGCAACACTGTTTCTCATCTTTCATATTTCTCTCTCACTTTAAAGAGAAGAACTATTCCTGATAGAAGAAAAAAATAATTAAATATAAGAGCAGAGATCAGCAAAATAGAAAAGAAATAAAATTAATAAAGCCAAAAATTGATTTCTTGAAAAGATCAACAAAGATGGTAAACACCTAGTAATTTATGTTCTCTTTCTTTAAAGAACATAAATTACTAATATCAGGAATGAAAGAGGAATTTTCGCTTTAGATCCAATAGCCATTAAAAGAATAATAAGAGGCCGGGCATGGTGGCTCATACCTGTAATCCCAGCATTTTGGGAGGCCGAGGTAGGCTGGACACTTGAGGTCAGGGGTTCCAAACCAGTCTGGCCAACACAGCAAAACACTGTCTCTACTAAAAATACAAAAATTAGCTGGGCATGGTGGCGGGTGCCTGTAGTCCCAGCCACTCTGGAAGTTGAGACACAAGAGTCTCATGAACCTGGGAGGCAGAGGTTGCAGTGAGCCAAGATCGCGCCATTACACTCCAGCCTGAGTGACAGAGACTCTACCCCTACTCCAAAAAAAAGAATAATAAGAGAATGCCATGAATTACTTTATGCCAGTAAATTTGATAACTTAAATTTTAAAATTTCTGGAGAAATACAACTTACCGGAACTGACACAAGATGTAAAAGAAATTGAATACCCTTATGCTATTAAAGTAATTGAATTCGTTATCAGAAATCTCCACAAAGAAAATGCCAGCCCCAGATGGTTTCACTGGTGAATTCCATTAAATATCTAAGGAAGAAGTAGCAGCAGTATCGTACAAACTCCTTCTGAAAAGGAATGCATTTTATGAGGCCAACATAACATACCATAACCCGAAAAAGAAATTACAAAAAAAGCATAAACCCATATCTTTTCCATACATAGATACAAAAATTTTAACCAAATATTAACAAATCAAATATAATGATATACAAAAATGATGATTAAGTAGGGTTTCTTTCTACCCGTTAATTCACCATATTAACAGAAAAAGTGAAAGACCATATGATCATTATCTTAGTTCATTTTCTGTTGCTTATAACAGAATACCTTGAAATTCAGTAATTTATAAGGAAAAGGAGTTTATTTCTTACAGTTTTGGAGGCTGAGAAGTCCAGCGTCAAGGGGCTGTGTCTAGTGAGGGCCTTCTTGCTGTTGGGGACTCTGCTGAATTCTGAGGCTTTGCAGGGCATCACATGGCAAGGGGGCTGAACATGCAAATGTGCTAGTTCAGGCCTCCCTTCTTATAAAGTCATCAGTCCCAATCCTGTGATAACCCATTAATTGATTAACTCACCAATCCGTGAATAGGTTCATCCATTCATGAGAGCAGAGCCGTCATGGCCCAGTCACCTCTTAAAAACCCCACTCTCAATATTGCCATTAGGAATTAATTTTCAACATGAGTTTTGGAGGCAACAAACATTCAAACCAGAGCAGTCATCTTCATATATGTAAAAATAGCATATGACAAAATCCACCATCCATTTATGATAAAAAGCTTTCAGCAAACAAGAAATTGAAGGGAACTTCCTCAATCTGGTAAGGGGCACCTATTAAAAAAATACACTATAAACTGCAAAAATCCATTATCAATAAGAAAAAGAAATGAGACATAAATATCAAAAAACGAAGACGTAAGTCTGCATTTGGAGATGACATGATTGTGTACATAGAAAGTCCTAAGGAATCAAGACAACAACTATTCGAAATAGTAATTGAAAAATCACAATAAGGTCACAGGCTATAAAGTTAATGTTAAAAAATTGGCCGGGCGCGGTGGCTCACGCCTGTAATCCCAGCACTTTGGGAGGCCGAGACGGGCGGATCACAAGGTCAGGAGATCGAGACCATCCTGGCGAACCCGGTGAAACCCCGTCTCTACTAAAAAATACAAAAAACTAGCCGGGTGAGGTGGCAGGCGCCTGTAGTCCCAGCTACTCGGGAGGCTGAGGCGGGAGAATGGCGTGAACCCGGGAGGCGGAGCTTGCAGTGAGCTGAGATCCGGCCACTGCACTCCAGCCTGGGTGACAGAGCGAGACCCTGTCTCAAAAAAAAAAAAAAAAAAAAAAAATCAGGCCGGGTGCAGTGGCTCACACATATAATCCCAGCACTTTGGGAGGCCAAGGCAGGCAGATCACTTGAGGTCAGGAGTTCAAGACCAGCCTGACCAACATGATGAAACCCCATCTCTACTAAAAATACAAAAATTAACTGGATGTAGTGGTGCATGCCTGTAATCCCAGCTACTCAGGAGCTGAGGTGGGAAAATTGGTTGCACTCAGGAGGCAGAGTTTGCAGTGAGCCGAGATCATGCCACTGCACTCCAGCTCAGATGATAGAGCAAGACTCCATCTCAAAAAATAAAATAGATAGATAGATAGATAGATAGATAGATGATCAGGGCTGGGCATGGTGGCTCATGCCTGGAATCCCTGCACTGTGGGAGGCCGAGGTGGGTGGATCACCTGAGGTCAGGAGTTCAAGACCAGCCTGGTCAACATGGTGAAACCCCATCTCTACTAAAAATATAAAAATTAGTCAGGCATGGTGGTGCGAGCCTGTAGTCCCAGCTACTGGGAAGGGTGAGGCACGAGAATCGCTTGAACCTGGGAAGTGGAGGTTGCAGTGAGCTGAGATCACACCACTGCACTCTACCCTAGGTGACAGAGTGAGTGAGACTCTGAGTCATAAATAAATAAATAGCTAAATCAGTTGTGTTTTATATATTAGAACCAAAAAAAAAAAAAAAAAGGAAAAGTAAATAACAATTTATGGGAGTGTCAAAAAACATAAAATACTAAAAATTGAGTTTGATAAAACATATGCAAGATATCTACGCTAAAAACCATAGACCATTGCTAAGAGAAATTAAATAAGGCCTAAATAAATAGAAATAATCATTTTTGGAATGGGAAGACTCAGTATTATAAAAATTTCAATTTTATTAATTCAATATAATTCCAGTCATAATCCTAGCAGGCTTTTTTTTTTTTTTTTGGTAGAAATTAGCAAGCAGATTCTAAGATTTATACAAAATAACAAATGACTTAGCATATCCCAAGCAACTTGAAAACATAAGAACATATTACAGGACTTAGATGACATGACATCAAGATATTTCAGGATTTAAAATTACCCGATGTTGGCTTGGCACGTGCCTATAGTCCCAGTTACTCAGGAGGCCAAGGAAGGAGAATCGCGTGAATCTGGGAGGCGCAGGGAGGTCGCGCTACTGCACTCCAGCCTGGGTGACAGAGTGAGACTCTATCTCAAAAAACAAACAAACAAACAAACTTCAGGGTTTATTAAAACTACAGTGATCAAGACAGTATGATATTGGCAAAGATCACCGAACAAAACAGAACAGAGGTCCTAGAAACATACCCTGCCATGCACACACTTAAAGGGTCATTTATTGTTTGACAAAGATGCCAAAGCATTCCAATGGGGAGAAGAAAGTCTTTTCAACATATAGTACTAGAATAACTGGGGAAACAAATAAACAAACCTCTCAACCTTTACCTCATACCAAAATTAATTTGAGATGGTTTTTAGACCTACATATAAACGCTAAAATCATAAAGTTTTTAGAGGGAAACAGGACAGTGATGAGTATCCCAACTTATGACTTGGCAGTAGGCAAAGGTTTCTTGAGTGAAAACAATAACCATAAAAATAAAAAAATCAGGCTGGGCGAGGTGGCTTACACCTGTAATCCTAGCACTTTGGGAGGCCAAGGCGGGCGGATCACCTGATTTTGGGAGTTTGAGACCAGCCTGGCCAACATGGCAAAACCTGATCTCTACTGAAAATACAAAAATTAGCCGTGCGTGGTGGCATGCCTGTAATCCCAACTACTCGGGAGGCTGAGGCAGGACAGTCACTTGAACCTGGGAGGTGGAGGTTCCAGTGAGCCAAGATCACACCACTGCACACCAGCTTGGGTGACAGAGTGGGACTCCGTCTCAAAATAAATAAATAATTAATACATTAGACTTTATCCAAATTGAAAACTTTGTCTCATGAGAATATACCAATAAGAAGATGAATGGGTAAGTCACAGACTGGGAAAGTAATAGTGGTAAAAGTTTGTATCTGACAAGGGACCAGTATCTAGTGTATATACAACTCAGTGCTAAAATGATAAGTAGCCCAATTAAAACTGAGTGAAAGGCACACCAATACCATGAATAGACTGAGCAACAGCAAGGAATAAACTCTTGATACATGCAACAACTTGGGTGAATTTCAAGGAAATTATGCTGAGTGACAAAATCAATCACAAATGGTTATGCACTACATGACTTTACGTATGTAATATTTGCAAAATAACATAGACATGGAAAAACAAATTAGTGGTTTCCAAGGGTAGGGATGTAGGGAGGAGAGGATGGTTTGGGTTAGAAAGGGGTAACACAAGGAAGTCTTGCAGTCATGGTACGGGTGAGTATCTTGATTGTGGTGGTGGTTTTAGCAGGCTGCCTGTGATAAAATTGCATAGAGCTATGCACATAAACACACGAGTGCACATAGAACTGGTGAAGTCTAAGTAAGCTCTATGGAATATACCAACATTAATTTCTTTCTTTTTTTATTTTTATTTTTTTGAGACAGAGTCTCACTCTGTCGCCCAGGCTGGAGTGCAGTGGCGGGATCTCGGCTCACTGCACCCTCCACCTCCCGGGTTTATGTGATTCTCCCACCGCAGCCCCTCAAGTAGCTGGGATTACAGGCATGTGCCACCACACCCGGCTAATTTTGTA